CGGGAGGTTCACTAGCCCAGAGGCACCTTTACGGGTTGCTCCTCCTCCCACAGAGCTTCTGCAAGCGATAAGAAAAGAACACCGCCAGTAGTTTCAGCAAATCAGGTGCTAAACGAGTATTATCTAAAGTTATTCGGCGCAATGCCCGATCCCTAAAAGCGTTCGGCCCTTTTGAACCCAAATCATACGGTATTTCGCTGGTCACGCGGCTAGATATTCACCAGCTTCCGGATGGCGTGAGATATTTCTGAGTTTCAAGGTACTGTACGTTCCCCGCCTATGAACGGAGTGCTAGTGTGCTTTGCGTGCAAGAGCTAATGCCGGAGATTTCGTCTGATCTGATCTTCTAAAAACTCCGGATCTAGCTCTTGCACGCTCAATACGCTAGCTCACCTCCACCCCTTCCTTATGAATAGATTGAGAGTGCTTCTTTCATACAAGAGCTATTCGAACGGTTCTCACAACATCGGATTAGACAAAATCCTCAGCTTTAGCTTTTGCACGAGAAAACACTGCGGAAATAAGCGAGCTGAACTATCTAACCCCAGTTCCACGGGCGTAAGACGGAACGAGTGCGGGTCGCAAAGCTTTCCGTAGTCATACTATTGGGCTATCCGGATAAGGCCCGAATGTACAATGGAGTTTCACGAAACAGAGGAAGTTGAAGCCCCCATCTTTTGCCCGTCTGTGATGGTTCCACATAGTACGGTGCTTTTCTCGTACCCTGTCTCAGAATTACACATCTATACTGCTCCACCAGGTATCACACCTAGCCTCTTTTCTGCTTCATACCTATTTCAAAGCCATATATAGTTAGTAGAATGTCAGCATAATATCCAGTCCTTCCGGCATATTCGCATCGCTCGCTTCACTGCAACGTCACTACCGGTCATTTTATACAATGTGTTTGAAGATCGCGGCGGTATTGTGGAAGCCATCGCCGGGGCGATTCGATTATAGACGACTCCAAGCAAGGTATCTGGAACATATCGACTGCAGCGACAGGCTCCAAGCTGCGGGGTTTCGTTTTGCGTCAGATTTAGTTGCGTCATTCGTGATATTGAGGAACTATTACGTGTAACCTTACATGTAGAGCATACAATGGCTACGGGATGTTTTTCTCAGACGGAATCGCTGGTCCAAGCTTTTTGTCTCTATAAAGCTCTGCGTCTTCATCCAAATCCTTCCTCACCCCAACTTTCCCCAACGTTTTCGGCTCACAATCACCTCCTTTGATTCTTTAAAAAGTCACCAACTATGAAGACTGCTCTGCTTATCGCCAGCTTTGCTGTAACTTTTGCTCTTGCTGCTCCTTCACAGCCCAGGAACGCTGATCCTCGTAGGGGTATTCAACTTGATGATACTTCTGCGTGTTAACAGGCATAGAGAAATATGATCTCGCATCTGTAGATGCTGCGCGCCGCGATGCTGAGCCGCGTATGTCTATCCACCTCAAGTCTACTTCTGCGTGCTAACAGAGGCATAGAGAAATACGACCTCGCATCAGTGGACTCTGAGTAGTCTGCTATGTGACAGTCATCACGTCATTGATTCCAAGGCTTGCGCTAGTGATCAAAAGGATGCTAAGTGCAGTCACCCAACAATCAATGTTGGAAAGACAGCTTACTTGATGAGGAGAGGTAACCTAACCCTCCGCTGATACTGCGCTCATTTGGAGCAAGTTCCTGCCATGACCTGAGTACCAAGTATGCATTGAATTCCGCAATATAATGAATTCTGCGAAAAAACGCCCTCACCAAAGCGCGTGATAATGTGCCTTGACCCCTATTTCCCCGGGCCACAGCTAACGTGTTCTAACGGTCATGCCGTATGGGACATACTCGGATCGTGCCCCTTCAAGTGAATATTGGTCACCGACTGTCTCTTCCATCGTGCAGCGCGGCGGAGTTTATCATTGTAATCGTTTAGCCCCCCCAGTGCAGGAAACGACTACTAACAGAACGAGCAAACTGTAACTAGTTGATCGCGGATATGTCTACCTGTGATACCTCTCCTCTATCATCCCTAAGTCAGTATCATACCGATCGACAACCCTGTCCTTTACTCATCAATCGGAGTCATTTTAGTCCCACCGCTCCCTTAATACATCTCCATTCAACTCGGGTCCAATCTGCTGGAACAGCATGGCTTCTGACTTACTCATGCTTAGCCTAATAATGAGGTTTTTTGTAAATTCAAGTGGAAGAAATGAGTGTGCAGATGAAAGTCTGAGTTCAGAATCATAAGTGACGATGAGGAAGCAAGACGTTCGATGATGCGATGCGCATGGCTTGCAATAATGTGCACGAATTGCGTGTCTGTTCTGCTCGAGAAGAGACCCACAGGAAGTGCAAGGAAATACCCCGCAGCAGAGCCGCTGCTGAACGCGCTACCAAGGCAACGATCCGTGCCGCAATACACCGCTTCCTGGTGACCCACCATCCCCACCCCTATAGTTGTGGTATAAGATGGACACACCTAAATTTGACATAAACGCCACACCTGAAACTGCCAGCATTCTACACACGTCCAATATTTACCTTCACCTTCGCAAGCGATGGAGCAACTCCCTCAAGAGCTAGCCGATCAAATTTGCCGCTATCTGACAGTCGATGATTTATACACGGTCTCACTACTATCACGCGAATTCCGCAAAGCCGCCAAAGACTGTGCGCGGAAATACCCCCGGGAAATTGTCGAATACCAGGAGCGAGACAAACAGGCCATTCTCAAGCGTTACAGTGGCTTTCTACACCACTACATTGAACGAATCAAATTTGACCTCTGGACCCCAGATCCCAAGGAGCCAGATGTCGACTCTTGGTGCAATGACGTGGATCCAGAAGAACAACGAGAGCGAGACATCATTTTCACTGCGCAGATCCGAGATCTGTTCGAGACGCTCAAAACTTTGGAGGAGCGTGCCTGCGAAGAAGGCCACGGCGCTTATGAGTTGGTCATTTGCGTTCCTGATGCATTTTCAAAACGTGACAGTCAAAATTATTGCATTTGTGCAGACCACGCGAAATGGCGAACAAAGCTACTGGATCCCGAAAAGCTGCCTGGTCTCCTGTCAGTTCGTGCTCTTCGAATCAGGGATCCCGATGAAGAGTCTTTCATAAAGCTGGACTATCGGATCATCACCGACCTAATTGCCCATCTGCCCAATGTTGAGAGTGCAGTCTGCTATATTGGCGCTGACGAGTCTACACCGCTTTACGTTCACGAGCCTGCTAAATCGTTCGTGTGGGAGTTTGATAATCTACGGAGAGACACGAGGCATGGACTTCTTGAGGCAATTGAGTCTTTGACCCTGCCCGAATCACTGCGATCCGTGCACTTGGACTTCTTCCCTGGTTCCTACAGCACGGAGGGGAATCTCCATCACTACAAAGCGCAGCCAGATTTCGTTACGCCAGCCACTACGGACCCGTTTAGCAACAGCCTGCGAATACTTTCACGCAATCTTCGGCATCTGACGTTGAGCGCGCAAATTGATTCAAGTATGTTCGTTTTAGAGGACGGCTCAGTCCCAATATGGCCAAACCTTGAAGAACTACGCATAAAATTTTATATGGTCACCCCTTCTGGGAACTGGTATTTTGAGGGCCCGCGAGGCGAAGGTCGCGACCTCCATGGCTATGACATTGTCGATGCCTTATATCCCGACGACTACCTTCATGACTGCGATGACGACGAACGTGGCAGATCTTTCGAGTCATGGGGGAAGTACCTATTCAGGATATCACCAAACGAGCAAATCCTGCGACCGTTTCTAGCGAGTTTCGCGAAGGCCTTAACAAACATGCCAAAACTGCGGCACGCTGTTTTATGGACACCACTCGATCTGGACACAGACTGCTACAGCGATGACGATGACTCGGCGTTTGACTATTACAATCTACCCTCCTCCTGGGTCAAAGGTGAGATGGCGTGGGGCCTGCAGTACTGCGCGCCAGGAGAACTGGGCGTCGTTGACCAGAATCCTCTCCGTATCAGCGAATGTCGCCAAATACAATGGAACGTTGGGGAGTGGCGGCCTGATACAGAACTACACGGCATGTTCCAGCAAATTGGCCGCGAGCAGCATGGAGAAGCACTGAAAGAGCGCTGGGACGATGATAAATTTGGCCAGGGCTTGGTGGTACGATGGGATTTTGAAGAATTGACACGGGACGAGCGATTATGGTAACGGTGGAGGCACCAAGCTCACTTCATCGATACCATGCAGCGTGGGGGCTGTGTGTGGTGAAGGGTTGAACGTCAATACATATAACCACGCGTGATATGCGGCGACGCATGATGCGCGGAGAATTCCAAGTCGTCATAGCTTGTAGCATACATACACTCGGTCTTAGTAGCCGCGCAATGCGCGGCGCGGCGCAATGCGCGGTGAATTAGCGGGAACCTGGTCCACACTTGTAATTCGAAGGACATTATATATAAACGCTTCTTCCCTTCCCTTCGATAACTTGACCATTTTTACAACAAACATCATCTTCCCTGAAATAGTATACTCTTTCAATTCGCCCACTTTTTTATTTACTAGCGACTCATCTTTACCATGAAGTTCTTCTCCCTTGTCAGCGCCATGCTCTTCGGGCTCGCAGCAGCCGCCCCAACAGTCACAGTCGATTCAGAACTAGCCAAGCGCGTAAGATGCTTCACCGAAATCGCCCGCTGTTACAAACGCTGATGTAGATGGAATAATCAGCAAGACGGGAATAACTGCGTTACGTGCGCGGTCGACGGGTCGACTCGGTGTGTCCCCATCGGTCTTGATTTGTGTACCTCTTGCGTACGTATTTCCTCTCTTTATATTGAATACAATCGTTCTTCCGATTCTATGCTAACTTGGAAATTATAGGTCGACGGCACAGTAAGTTTTCCCATGCTGAATCTAGAAAGCATGCGCTGGTCACATTGTACATACTCCGTTGCTGACGAACCAATCACAGGGAGTAAGTAAACATTCCCTTTTGTGTTCAAGTAGCTTGCTGCACAAGCAGTGTAGGGTGCGTTGCTGACTGCTTGACACAGGAGACCGTTTGCGGTGTATAAGGTCTGCAATCTACGCATCATTGTACAGCATTCTCTCGAAGGGAAGTTTCAGCTCGGCCGGCTGTGGGTTATATAGACTAGATTTAGGAGGAATAAATGAAGTGCAATTGCCGCGATGTACCCTGACTTCAACTCTTGTCCCCTTCATCGTTCTGGGCTTCGTATCCACCCAGGATGCGTACCACCATGCAGTGCGTCTCGCAACGCGTACTCTCGGAGTTCAATAGCCTCCAAACAACCCCCTGCAGGAACGGAAACACGCCAAGAGCGTGGGGAAGACCAAGAAGCTTGGCTCCGATGTATCACGGCACAATCCCGGCGAATCAAACGGCGACATTCTTACGCGATCTGCGGGTGGAGAAGAACAAACAGAGTCCTCGCACGTACGCTGCAGCGTTATGAAGTCATGCCCGTCACGTGCTGCCGTCCTTGATTTACTCCAAGCAAGGGGACCTTCGACTGCGATTTTGATCTTCGCCAATGATAAGCGCCTCAGTATCTCGTTCTAACATCCGACATGCAACGTCTTTTCGTTCACGTTGTAGTCTAACTATATAAGCCATTAATTACTTTAAGATTAAACAGAGCCCCTAAAGACAGCATATTTCTGTCGCTGCTAAACCACGCACAGTCTTCACTTGGCAGCAGCTAAGAGTAATTGAAGTCCTAAGCTAGCTGTTCGACTCTACCGGCAACTAGACGAGAATGCCGCATGTCTGTCTAACGCGTCTAATTCGATGCAACAAAAACTTTTGATGCAAGCGCAGCAAGTGATTAAGATTCGCTCGAACGCGCACAATTACTGCGAGTAGCACCAGAACGCAGTCCAGCCTTTTTGTAACCTTGTACCTCCAAACGACTGCGTCATGACTGGGAGTCATGAAATTATGCGGGACTCTTCCCTAGTACCTTCTCGCACCGTACACGTGCGTCTGAAAAGGTCACTTGGCCATGTTGAGAAGTAGTAGAATACGTAGTGCAGTGTTTGAGGTACTTGGGTGCTCGGAGTGCGTGTAAAGCTCCATCTAGGAATAGAAATGGCGGCGCAGTGCTCCTGCGGTACAGCAGGCGAGGTTGGAGTATAGAAAGTAGTCATAGCACTGCTTAAAGCTTTGGTGTATCTTCTGTTTGTGAAATCGTTGGAATCGTTTTGATAGACTCGAAATGCTAATTATAAAGCCGCAATTTCGATTGCTCGAGTCTCACGGCATCGCAGATACCAAACTGTTGAAAGTCTTGACCTGTGGCTGCCTTGTGTAAATTCCCGAGCCAGAACATCAATGCCAGAGACATCCTGAGTGTACCACCCACTTGGTCATATTGTAGGTGCTCCTTGACTAAGTTTGTTGATAAGAAGATGTCGCTTGACGACACGAAGCGTGGTGATCTGGAGCCACTGCGAAAATAACAATGACCATTGATGCCACCGTCGTGTGTGACAAGAATGATATGCTCTTGCAAAACATTACACAGAAACTTTGGTGGTATAGAGACTATGAGATTGCATCGCTCTTCTTTATCCGCAAACGGAGGGCAATGTGCATGAAGATTCATGCTCCAATCTTCACAACATACGCCGGAAAACTCAGTGGTTGTAACGCGCCCAGTACGCTTTAACAGGAGTTCTCGGAGTAGTTTACGTTCGGAAAAGCGACTAGACGGACTTGCGAGGGATATGGAAACATCGAAATGCTGCTGCGTCCAGATGTTGCTCGCATAAGAGCAGGTGAACAAGGTGTCCCGGGCGCCCACGTCGAGCGCTAAGGAGATGCCAAAAAGAGCACACAAGCAGAACGATCTCTTACATGATAAGAGAACAGCGAGGGCTAGCTCTTCGTCGGTTCTGTCATAGTCGACAATCATATCTGAACCCTGGCCACATATGCCCAACACAGAGTAGACACGGTCCTGCGGCAAGGCGCAGCACTTTTCCGTCAGCAGCAGAACAATTTGAACCAGATTTTTTCCTCGCAGCGAGCGCCATTCTGATACCGTGGGTTGGTCTGGTGCATTGCGCCACATAGAGCCCGTAAAGCAGTTAGGAAAAACCGGCAAACGGATTCCCCTAGGGGTTCTGACGTTGCGTGGAAGAAATTCCAGCGGAGTTTCGATTCCGCCGGCCAAGAGTGTCACTCGAAGCGCAAGGAATAACTCTTGGGTTACCCACGCACGCTTCCAGTAGTCACAGTCCACAAAAGCTTGCACCAAGTGGCCCCTGATCCTCTCGTGAGAGGAATAGCGAAGAAATTTTGCGACAGACTTGTCGGTGCCGAGCCATGCGATGACCTCAATCGCTCTTGAGAATATGTGGCTCATCTGCTGAACCTGGTGTGTGCGTTCTGCATTGTTGATTTGATCGATGCAGATGGCGTCTATCCACAGCCATGATGATATGGAATTCTGCTGTGCAACTTCTAAGAACGCGAGGAGATTGTCCCGAACTGAATGCAACTGTCCGTCGATTGTGATCCAATTGTTACTGAGCGGGCCCCAGACATACGACAAACACTTGTACTCGTGTTCAATAGTGGCATTTCGCATCTCGCACTGAATATGCCCTTCTCTTGATCTTGTCGGAAGGATTCGTATCAGCCGGATCGAGCGTTGTGCGAGGTCGAGAGATTGATACGCAAAGGCTTGCGCTTCAGGCACGGAATTAGGCTCAGATGCACTCATGATGTTGGCATAAAGCTCCGGGGCCGCCTTGTGTACAGTTTGGAATGTAGAGGGCGTTCGAAGTGGGATTGTGCAAGATGTTGTCCACGTCCGGCGCGGGACAGTGCAGACCGGAGATGCGAATTGGATGGCGGAAGGCCTATAATGCAAGGAACTTGTCACGTCACCGCCAGGCCTGGGAAGTTCATAGGTGCAAGGGCTGAACGGCTGCCTAAAGTGACCAAGAAGTCTACACCAACGAGGCAAAACGGTTGGATTGATTCGTCGGTCGCGAATACATCAATCAGCAGTTTCCACCGGAATTCCGATAGCGAACATGGGTGTAGTAGTGATTGCTAAGGGAAAGCGAAATGACGACAGTGAAGCAAGCGCAGCTTTTGCAATGAATGCAGGGCTGGATTTTTCGGACAGAGAAATTTGGAGAAATTTGCGACTCGGTTATGAGATGAGATGAATCAGCTTGCATCAAAAGTTGCGGATCTCGCAGACGTAAATGTGGACATAAATGTTGAGGAAGGAAAGCAGAGTTTCGATGATGCAGCAGGCGCAGCTGCCAGCTAGCATGTTGGTCTGTGCGTTCAACTTCAAGGGAAGGAGCGCAAGGCTGAAGTAAGACGCGAAATCGGAGCTAGGCCAGATTATGGAAGCCAGCATCTTAATTGAATTGAGTAGAGCATATGTAATCATCCTACCCATCAATCATGCATTCCTCATGACCCCCTCCCAACCCTCTTCCCCCTATCCTCAGAGTCCAGAATCCTCCTCCTTCGATGATTCTGCGCCATCTTCCACCGAACATACAGCAATACCGCATCCTTCAATCCCACAAACAGACAGCCGCCAACAAGACTCCTTCCCCAGCGCGTCTGCAAAAAGCCCGTTGGCCTACCCTTCTCACCAACCTTTCCACCTGTGGTTATCCAGCCACCAAGCCACGACAAAGACGGTGCGCTTGACGGTGTATTCACCCAGGATGAGGGAAGAGTGTGGCGCAGGAGTTCGCCCATGGCGGCGGCGATGCTGGGGAAGATGAGGGCGCCGAGAATGGTGTCGGCGAGGGAGGTGGTGGAGAAGGCGATGTTGCGTTCGCGGCGGACGCGTTGGCGGCGGGGTTGGGCGGGTTGGAGGGGGACGTTGGGAGCTGGCGCGGCGGCGACTTCGATTAGTGCGGGCATTTCGTCGTCGTCTAGGGGTGGTGCGTCGATTGGTCGGTCGGGTGCTTGCACGTGTGCGTGGTCGTGGTCGTGATGATCCGCTCCACCTCCTCCATTCCAGTCGCCGAAGATGTCAAAGTCGACTTCGATTTCTACCTCGTTGACTTCTTCATGGTCGTGGTCGTGATGGTCGTGATCATGGTCGTGGTCGTCTGCTAGTTGAGCATCGGCCGCATCTTCAGTACCCGCGCGAGGCTGAATCTCCTTCAACCACTGTTGCTCCTTAGGCAGACACACGCGGTCGTAGAATGCGTTGTAGAAGCCTCGTAGATACGGTAGGGCAGCGAAGGAGAAGGCGGCGCTCGGTGGCCACTGCAGCTGCATCAGCTCGTCTCCGGGCTGCCCCGAGCTAGCGAAGAAGATGAGCGGCAAAAACGGCAGGAATGAGTCAGCGAACGTCGTCCGGCTAGCTACAAGCACCGTAGGTATGAGCGGCAGTCCAAGATCCAAGCGCCAATGCTGTGCAAGGTGCATCAGCATTCGCAATAACGGCGATGTTATCCTCATATCCGGCTTCTCGTACAGCGGCGCCAGTATCTGCAGCGCATCCTGCGTGCCAAAGATCTGATATATCGTATGCGTGCCCGCAAGCGTCATGGTGGAGTACAGCGCCGTGCCCGTGACAATCGCAAAGCCCGGGAGGAGCAGCGTGCCCGTCAAGCGTTCTCCAAGCCGCACCGCGTCGACAACGAAGCTCCTCGGCCGCGCAATTTTAATCTCTGACTTGCACTGCGGACACTGTATCTTGGACGCACGCGTGCCTGCCCGTCTCCGGTTGTTTGGCGCCTCCATGTCCGCTATCCAGTCCAGCAAGCACTTCTCGTGGGCCACGAGTGAGCACGTGCACGGTGACCGCCACTCGGAACTTGTCTCGTCATCCTCGGTCTCGTCGTTGAAGCAGATCCAGCACTTTCGCGGCTCGTCCTCCTCTTCTTGCGGTGTGTTGGTCAACTTTGGAGCTTCTTCCTGCTCTTCTACGGCGGGCTTGGCCGTCTCTCTAGGCGGCGAGTTGAGCAACAGTGTCTGCGAGTCGACTGACTGTGCGGAGAAACTGTTTGTGCGCGCCAGGTGCTCTTGCTGCGAGGACGACGTTTCTTCGTGCGGCGATGCTCTGCGCTGCTCCGCGGGGCGTTGGGGCGGAAGCGACGCCATGCTGTACGACGGAGGCTACGATGGGCGGTAGGAACAGTGGCGGCGGAATGAGGAAGAGCAGAGGTGAGAAGTCGTCAACAAGTCCGGAGCTCACAAACTCAAACACGAGCGTTAAGTTTGCTCACGACCTTGCAAGAAGAGCGCAACAAGGTCGTAGCTTGGTCGCTGCGCAGCCGCGGCAAGTGCACGGAGTTTGTCAATAGATTGCCCGAACCGACCGCGAAGACGTCACTCAGCCATTCACGCCAAGACCGAGCACGTGCGCCATGAACTTCACTTTGCACATGACTGCCTCACTTCGTTGGAATTACCCTTGATAACCCTGAGTCGAGCAGCTGAGAACTGTTCAGTGGCTGCATGACGTTGCATTCTTCGAATAATGGACCGAGCATCTTGAGTACGCACTATTGATAGACCAAAAGGTTCAAGCAGCTATTGTCGTTATCTCCTGCACTCATTTCCATGTCAAAAGTCCAAATCCACATTCCTTTCCAACCCTTCTGATACATCTTCCCCCTTCCATCTTCTTCTTTCACACTCACTTCCTCCGCGCCCCCCTAATCCTCCCCCGTTCACCTCCACCTCCACCCCTTCCCCTCCCCAAAACCGGCATCCCCTCTCCCCGATACGCCTGCACCAACGCCCCCCTCGGCTTCAACTTCTCCAACTGCTCCCGCACAAGATGCCTATGCGCCTTGGTTCTAGGCGTCGACGGCGTCGGCGGAGGAGGATGCATTTTATTCCCCGGCGCCGCCCACTCCTTGCCTTTCCCCGATTCAAACTCGAATTCCAAGTCGTCGTCCTGGCGCCACTCACTCGTCTCGCTGTCTGGATCGCTGAGGGCTTTGTAGGGTTTTGCTCCTGCATCGTCCTCCTTCTCACTGGCATGTTCTTCCGCCACGGCAGTGTCTTCTTTCTCACGCTCCGCTTCATCTGCGGCGAGTTTATCGGCGTCGAACAAGGGTGCGTAGTACGCCACTGGCACGATGTCTGGATCCATCTGATCGTCCTGGAGGAAGGCGCATGTCTGGCAGTCGTATTCGTGGCCGCGGAGGTAGAATGTGTGGCGCGTCGAGGTGGGGCAGTTGAGGGTGCAGTTGTAGGCGCCGATGAAGTGGTGGTGCGCGCAGGTCGTCTGGGAGGCGAAGTAGACGATGCACATGGTGGGAATGTGGTGTCGTTACCACTTCGATCGTGTGGTGCTTTCTGCGCAGTGCGAGTTGAGGAAGTGGATTAATAGATGTGACTGCGGCTGTTGGTAGATATGGGAGAAAAAAAAGGTTCTTGTGGACTGTTGAGATTGCGTATCGGCGGAACATTACGTAGCGCGATGGGAGGACTCTGAGTGAGAGAGGGTTTGCGCAGCAGATTGCCGAAATCGCGTTGAAAGAATAGTTCGACTGTGACCACGGGGAGGCTGTTGTAGAACGCGTGGCGAGGTGAACCGGAGACGCTGACAGATCGTAATGTTTGCTGCTCATGCGTGTACCCTCGCGTATCCTCACCACCCGTCAATCCCAAACTCAAACTCCCGATCGCCCTGCCCCACTGGGATCGCCTTCGCATCGCCATCGAACAGCGTCCGCTCCAAGTAATACACCTTGCCCTGCTTATCAACCAAAATCACAATATTCTTCTGCGTCCCATAACACCCACTTGTCGCATCGACTGCTTTCTGCTTGACCACATCTCCCACCTCATGTTTCGGCATCTTATGCTCCTCCAGATGATCGCGGCCAATCGATGGGATAAATATACTGTGTCGCAGCTGGTTGAGATACATATCCCAGTCCTCGTTCTCCTTCTGGCGCGGCATGGTATCGGTAGTGAGGACCTTGAGGAGGCGCTGGACGAGTTGCGAGCGGGTTTCTTTAGCAGCGACGGAGTCTTCGATGGCGGCGGACGTCCAGGTCTCGCCGTTGATGACTTTCGGCCATGTGCGATCTGCGTAGGCGGCGTTGCTGAGGGCGTGGGTTGATGGGGATGTGCTGTCGGGAAGATGGATCACGTCCTTCACATCTGGCGTGCGATTACTGATGATAGCCAGCCCTCCTTTCCCTCTCACAACATCTTGCATGAAGCCGTAGCATAAGGAGAAGCCGCCCACACCTTTCACGCCATCTTCCTCGATCATGCGCTTCGCAAAGTCCTCGGCGCTTTCCCCCTCTTTCGGATCAGTCTTCAGCCATGCATTCGGAATCAAACCACGACTTCGTGCGCCTTGCACGATACTTTCATCTTCTTCGCGGTAGTTGGTGAGGACGGCGACGCGGCCTTGTCGAGTCACGCCTAGCCATGTGCCGTGGACTGGGCGGTGTAAGTCATAGCCGCCTAGCACTTGAGAGTCGGGCTCCGGCCACCATGTTGCTTCGGCGGTTGGGCGGTGAAGATATTCCTGGGCTAAGTTTTAGTTTTGAAAACCAATGTTTTTTGAGGAAGACATACGTCTCGGTTGTTCAACAGAATGAACGGGTAGTCTGGATGTTCGGTTGTGACGATGGCGATACACATGGTTGCACGTTTCTGGCCAAGCTGAAGATGGGGGATTCCCAGAAGTATATGGTTGTGGGAGGTTTGCGTTATTAGGAGTTTGCGTCGTGTCAGTTGTAGATGCAGACTAGGCGGTGTGATGTGCCAACAAAGCTTCACTTATATACGTGTCTCCACTGTTCCTGCTTCCGAATGCAGCTCCAGCTGTGAGGTGAGGTGGAGCGATGCATGTTGACAAGAAGCGTGATAGAATGTTGGAGCTTGTGACGACGTGTGACGCCTCGTATCCAAAGTCTTCACGCCACTCGTCTGCATGAAAAATTCTTGGGCATTTTGCGCGCGTGATGAACCAGGAAAATAGCCACACACAGCCTCCGGGCTTCAAACAAGACCCCGTCGCACAATCTCGCCGTTCCTGGATTCCCTCCGCAGTAGCTTTTAGTCGCCGTCCCCAAGTCCGTCCTCACGTGCGCAGACCCCTGCCCCACCGCGTCACCGCCCGGCTAGACTTTCCCCGTCCCTCAGCCCTACCGCAGCGTCATGTTCACCACCGCCGCCGCCGCAATCACCTCCACACAGCACCACCACCACCACAACCACGCCAACACAATGGCAAACTTCGCGCCCTACCAAGACATACCCGAAACCCAACGCGCGCTCTCCCCACCACTCACATCGCCGCGCATACACTCCCCCCGCGCATCCATCGACCGCACGCGCGCAATCACAAGTCCACCGAGTCGCACATACGAACAACACGACTACTTCGGCGCGGGGAACGATGACGACGACGAGCCAGATGTAGAGCGTGTCGCATGGACCGCCCCACAACCCACCACAGGCTTCGGCCGCTCGCGCTCCGACGTCGACATGTTCACGACGTCGCTGGGCTGGCGGCTCGACTACGAAGCCATGTTCGCGTACCTGATGCTGCCGCCGTGCGGCGGGGTGTTTCTGCTGGTCATGGAGCATCAGAGCGACTATGTGCGGTTCCACGCGTGGCAGAGCAGTTTGCTGTTTAGTTTTGTGTTTGTCATACATGTGATTTTCAGCTGGAGTAGTTGGATCAGTTGGGTGCTGTTTGTCGGGGATGTTGGGGGGATTGCGTGGTTGAGCTGGAAGGCATATGTGGATGCGGGAATGTTGGAGAGGTACGAGGTGCCGTTCTTTGGGGGGTTGGCGAGTAGCATATTGGATGATGAGTAGGGATTGGAATTTGGGAGCATGGCGTTATGGAGCATATACAGGCGCTTATGCTGGGATATATTTTTGCAGGACTTCAAGACGGATGGATCTTGCAATATCGGACTAATACTATGTCATCGACTTCTCACACGCTTAACCAAATCTCTCCTTCGCAATCTGCCTCAAAAACTCCATCGTCTTGCCCTCCTTCTCCCTCCTCTCAGCCAAGCGCTCATTCCTCTCCGCATCCCGCGCCCTGCTAATCTCCTCCCGCCGGATCTCCCTCTCGCTCTTCTTGCGCTCCTCTTCCTTCTTCTTCCTCTTATACAGGTCGATGCCATCGTCGCCCATAAGATCCGACTCGGGCACCTCCACATCGCCGCTCTCTTTGGCGTCGCGGAATGACTGCAACGTGCTGGTGACTTCGCGCTTCTTCTCCAGCTGGCGTTCGCGCGAACCAGGGTCTGCGCGCGGCACAAGCTCGTCGAGTTGCTCCTTCTGCGCTTTGCGGTCTGTCTTGCGCTCGTGGCGTATGTCGTCGACGTAGTTGGAGCGGTCGCGCGCGCGGTCTTCGTCGCGCATCTCATTGCGGTAGGCCAAGTCATCAAAGCCTGGCACTGTGGGGCCGTGGCCTTTCCGCTGTTCTCCTGCAGTTGGGGGCGCTGGGCCAAAGTCATCGTCGCTTTGATCCGAGGCGTCTTCTTTTGGCTTATACGCTGGCGATGCGCGCTTCGTTGGCTTTGGTGAAGTGGGTTGTTGGAATGACTGCGCGGTCTCTTGGGCGGTCTTGAGCATGGAAGGATCGTACCAGCTCCGTGCTAGATTTCCACGATTCCTGCAATGTTAGCATGCCAATTCTGTCACACTCGGTATCAAGCATGACATACCATCTGCTTATAAAGCTCTTCCAACGCCCCTTTGCTTCCCTCTCGTCAAGCTCGTCGAGCTGTATATGCTTCTGGATGTCGAGATACGACTGAAACAGCGGCTTGTACTCCTCAAATTGGCGCTTCGATAACGGCTTTGCTTTGTACGGCAGCGTCACCGGTTTTGCTGCTGGCGACCGCGAGCGATGACGTTTATGTCGATGGCGGTCTTCATCGCGACGAGGGGATCGCGAGCGGCGCGCGTGGTGATGACGTTTGCGATCGTGGCGCGACTGCCGTTCTGGGGAATCGCCTGCCTTTGGCGCTTCTTCAACTGCAGGTGACTGACTTCGAGGCATATTTAAGGTTGAGAAAATGGGTGGAGTCGAGATTGTGAAAGATGCTGGTTGCACTAGCGGCCCGTTTCCGCGCCCCGGGTGCACTAGCCTCATGTCGGAGTCCTCTGCCACTTCGGGTCAATGTGCCTACTTTGCGCTGACAAACATCTACGTAGCCGATTGCCCTCTCGCGCTCAATTCCGACAAGGCTAACAAACAGGCACGCAGCTGAATCTGGCCGAAGGCGTTCAGCCTTGCGGACGATTTCGTCATTTACCAGTCCAAACACTTGGCTGCACAGTGACAATTACAACAGACACAACTTCGGATCACCGGTGACTCAATGTACCCAAGAAGATGGTCTGGCTCTGTCGTACTTGCAAGGGCGCGTTAATTTATCGTCATAACGAACTCAATGTTAGCCCGAGTCCTGTCGATGACCTTCGCCACACGGCCGATGCATTTGCTCACCACTACTCGTGGAGATCCCTATGGAACGCGGTCCTGGATACGTGTTGGATCTGTCGTGAGCTTTGGAGCGCGCTTCCGTCGTCGATCACGTTCATACCGAAAGACTCCAGCATTCCAACAATATTAGCTGAAGAAGACAACAAACCAGGCTCGTCGTCTAGTGCACCTTTTCCAACTTTCATAAGTGCCATAGGCCTTCAACCATTACATTCTGGCTCCATCGACATTGTCATGTATCATGTGCACAACGGCTTGTTTACGGTACGGACACAATTCCATGTAATTCTGGATCTCAGTACGTTTTCAAGGCCAGTCCAAACCAGCAAGACTGAAACACACTTTAGCTACCCGTGACGATGTCATATCTGCGCATGGCGACGTTCCACAATCAGAAGACAGCACCGCGCATATCACATCATTTAGAATAGCTAAATCCTGGCTGTCTAGCTGTGTACATTCACATCCTGAGTGTCAGATGGCCAGAGCTGAGAAGCCTTGGTATCCCACACGCCTCTTGCATGTGACTGGACTAAAGGCTGACACTTGCGACGTCCGTTTGGTTCTCACAGACGACGATCGCCCAAATGGTCCCTATGCCACCTTGAGTCACTGCTGGGGCGGCGAAAGATATGTGCAGCTTACCAGATCGACCCTGGGAGGCTTCCTTACTGCGCTTGACGTCAAGGATATGCCTAGGACCTTCCGTGAAGCTATAGCAGTGTGCATGGTGCTGCATATCGAGTACCTATGGATCGACAGCCTCTGCATCCTCCAAGACGATACTAGCGACTGGGCTCACGAAGCAGGTTTGATGCACAAGGTATATTCATTCTCCCACTGCAATCTATCCGCCTCGGATGCAGGAAACGGTACACATGGTCTATTTCGGCAGCGTGATACATCTATACTGGACCTTGTCAACTTCCACATTTGCCGACGTGATGCGAATGGAGTTCTCAAAACCAAGCTTTACTCTGTCCAAGAGCGCTACCTTTGGAATGACAGTGTGGCTGACTCGATAATCAACAAACGAGGCTGGGTCTTCCAAGAACGACTTTTGGCGCCGCGGATTCTTCATTTCACTCATGACCAGCTATTCTGGGAATGTCGGGTACACAGTGCGTGCGAGAAATATCCCAGTGGTTTTATGGAATACGCGCTGGAAGGAGCTGATTTCAAGCGCTCTCTTGACTACAACAAGTACGCTGCAAAAGCAGCTTCACACCCACTCACGCCCGAGGACATCACGATATGCTACAAAATATGGAACATTATCGTCGAAAAATACACCACCGCGTCGCTGACGCGCCCCAGTGACAAACTCATTGCGATTTCTGGTGTTGCTCAAGGGCTGGTATCCATCCTAGGCGACGAGTACTGTGTAGGAATGTGGCGCCGAGATCTCGAAATTCAACTTTTATGGCACCGCGGTGAGGATCCGACATCTTACACGAGGCCAGAAACCTATCGAGCCCCATCGTGGTCCTGGGCATCACTGGACGGCAGTATAGTGATGAATGCGAGGCACTTTGACTCATCAGACCTCAAAGCTCATATCGAAGACGTTGTTCTCGTGCACAAAACAGAAGATAGTACTGGACAAGTGCGTCATGGGTACTTGGATTTGAAGGGCGAACTGAAGCCGCTCTGCCTCGCCCCAAATCTAAATTGGCCCCATGAGAATAATATCCACATCGTCGTACAGAAGTCGCGTTGGTCAACAGAGGCTTACATGAGACACATCGACACAAATACTGGTTTCGACGTTTCCGGTGTTCCCAGCTCACACAGACTCAATGATAGCTGGGAGCGCCGCTTATTCTACATGACGGTTGTCGCATCGAGAGACTACGTGGCAGCACTCATGTTGCGGGTTGGGGCCGACGAGGACGTCCATGAAAGAATCGGGTTGATCGAACTGATTCGTGGTGTCGAGGACAACGACGGTTTCGAGAATGGATTCCTAGCCGGCTTGGATGACAGCATCAAGAAGACGCTTCCTTGTTTACGTTACGAGGATGGAAAGCACACGGTTCGAATCGTGTGATTCGTCGAGGCACGTTGCTATTACTAGACCTTTTATAAGGCAAGTCTGGCCACCACTCGGCACGTTGGGACGACATCTTCCCATGCCTCAGTATACTACCTCGACTCTACATCGATCCGAAGAAATTCTCTATCTCGAGATGGAAGTCCGCAGGAGCCGGCCCGTGATCTCAAACCCCCCCGATCTTTTCATATCGGTTTATTTCCAAAAAAAACAGACGCCCACGCATCAAGATTCTTGATCTGCAGTATTGCGATGAGCTGCAGCAGCAAGGTATCACGGTATCAACTTCACAATCACCAACACGAGTGCACTCACCAACATTTCCAACCGAGCCAGTATGCCCACCGTCTCGGATGTGAATAGCTCCGTACATCCATGCCTTTAACGAGCCTGGAGCCGTCAAAACAGTCTGTTACGACAGCTACGAGAATCGTCTATGAGAATCGTCTATACTTTATGACCTTTGTTGTTACCGAAGAGTGTGCCATGTCGATGTTGTTTCGCGCCATTGATGCTCCGGCTGTCGCGTTCTAGAGGTTTGGTGTTTTGACACTTCGACCAAACAATCCTGACCCCGGAGATGATGAATTTGTCGCTGCTCTCACTAACCTAAACGAGATCAAGAATAGGGAACTGCGATGCTTACGCTACGAGGACGGTAAGCACGCAATTAGAATCTTCTAGAGAATCGCTCGCGACTTCGTGCTGGTACCCCAACGTTTTCCTCTTCTGAGGAGTTGGCGTCCAACTCGATAGTACTGATGTCCGCCTCTGCTGAACACACTGAGCTTGCTATCTACCCCGCTTCATGATCTCTGGCAATACTAATTTTCAGTGATTCACCGTTTGACACGTGCGTGACGTTCATGTGGTACCAGCACTCTCGCGCGGTTCCACTGGTCAAAACGGCATGCATGGAGGAAGAGAAGATTCAAAGCTATGCTCCCAAGACGATGAAATCGAGCACAAATACTGCCGAAGCTTCTAAGCTACATGCGCAGCCGGCATGTGCACTTCATAATTTTTTGATCAAAGCCGCGAGTTTGGTCATAAGGCAGGACCAACACACAAGCGATGTCGTCAGTGCCCAACGCTAAAAGTCTTTGTCTTCACGGATCCTTCCGCGACCCATCGAAGCCGCCACGTTTTTCATCAAGGCCAGCAGATTTCGCAGGCACCTTTAGTCACCGATTCATCTGGAAACATCTCGACTGTGGGTGTCGGAGTACCTCAAATGCTCCGAAGCTCTAATTTGGGTGTATAAGTGGGACCTCTCGTTCCTACTTGCCTTAAACGTCGAATTCCGACTTGGCTCGTCGCGACGGGCGCACCCGATTGGCTCGCATCAGACGTGAAAACATTGAAGTGTATGATGCGACTCTCAACATGTTGTGCACGATGTTCTTGACATGTGCGCAATGCGATATCGCAAGTGGACTGAAAGTCCAGCTTATGAAGATGTGGGTAGGTATAAGAAGTTGCGTCAGCTTGAGGGAGAAGTTTGGTACGCTTCCAAACTTTGACTTTGTGCCTCCATAAGAAAGAGCTGGCAAAATGGATCATGTCGCGAACCCCTTTGTCCAGGTGCAGGACATGCCGTCCTCAAGCGACGTGCACCAAGCCGAACCTGAGGAGATTTGGACCGAGATACGACGCACTGTTTCGAAGATGACTACACGGTCAAGGTTCACATGTGAAGAGAAAGGAACGCACCAGGAGAAGCCGGAGTCCCAGTCATACGCTTTTTCAAAGTCGGGAAAGCAATGGAGCAGCCGCCACAGCGATGATGAGTCAAGCATACCGACCGTTGACGCCGAAGACGACTTTCCGGAGGGCGGCCTCCGCGCATGGCTTGTGGTCGCATCTGCTTGGCTCATGCTATTTCCTTCTTTCGGACTCATGGTTTCCATAGGCACGTTGCAAGACTATTGGGCCCAACATCAGCTATCACACATGACAGCTCGTGACATTGGCTGGATACCTTCCGTCTTCGTGTACCTGTCGCTCGCATTGGGCATTTGGGTTGGACCACTTTTCGATCGCTATGGACCCCGCTGGATCATTTTCGTTGGCAGTGTTGGGATGCTGGTGATGATCTTCACGCTCGCTGAATGCGAAAAGTTCTGGCAGATGTTCTTATGCTGCGGTGTTTTGGGAGGCGTTTCCGCAGCTCTGTTAACTACCACGAGTCTCGCGGTCGTTGCGCACTGGTTCAAAGAGCGTCGAGGGTTGGCGCAAGGTATCGCCATGATGGGCTCATCCGGCGGTGGCCTCATCATACCACTGATGCTGCGAACAACGTTCCCCACGTACGGGTATAAGTGGTCACTCCGCATCATCGGCTTCATGTTCCTCTTCTGCTTCATCCTTGGCAACATTCTCATGAAAGCTCGCATTCCACCAAGTACTGCCACGAAGAAGAAGGCCATCGTATCATTATCAATATACGCCGACTTGCGACTCAGTCTGTTCACCCTCAGTGTCTTTGGCCTTGAAGTCGTGCTATTCGGCGCTCTAGGTATCCTTCCAACCTACACGACCTTGAGCACGAACTTTTCTCCCGAAACCAGCTTCTACCTCATCGCCGTACTAAATGGTCTCTCCTGCCTCGGTCGCCTCCTCCCAGGATACGTCGCGGACAAAATCGGCCGCTTCAACATGCTCTTCATCATGATCATCTTCACGCTCATCTTCATGCTGGCACTCTGGCTGCCACTCGGCACAACATCGCTCACCGCCTTGTATTGTTTCGCCGCCTTGTTCGGTTTTGGCACTGGCAGCTGGACTGCATTAACGCCTGCTTGTGTCGGACAGCTATGTCGCGCAGAGGAGTTCGGCAGGTATTACGGCTCGATGTACTTCATCGCATCGCTTGCGACGCTAGTCTGCATTCCCATTAGTGGTGAGCTTGTACAGACCGTGGGGCCTCAAGCAATGGTTGGCTTCTTCTGTGCTGTACTTGGCTTGAGTACCATCAGTTTTGTGTTTAGTAGATGGGCGTGTTTGGGTAGGCGCTGGACCATCAAGGTTAAGATCTAAATGCGTGGCCGCAACTAGGATTTACGGCGTTACTGTGAGATTTTCGAACTCATTGCGCATTACGAAAGTCTTTGAGAGAAGAAGCAGGCTTCGGAGGAAGATTGCACATGGATGTTAAACGACAAAAGCTAGATTTATAGATTGGCAAAAAAGGGCAGGCGTACGGCGGCATACTCTTAATGTAATGACTTGATGAACATTCGACCAAAACAACTAAGTGTATCTTGACTTCATCCACACTCCATCAGCATGCGGATCAGCGATGGTGCGTTGGTATTGCAACCTGATTTATCACTTGAGCTGTCCTTACATGATTCAAGTAGAGTATCGAGATCAAAGTGTAAAGTTCAGTGATCTGGCCGTTTCAATACTTTACTAAATAGCATGTGGTTATGCATTGAAACCAGAGAAACATAATCCCAACGGTTCATTCTTGTCTCTCTAAGTTGTTGCTCAACAATTGACACTTCGATGGATTGTATACACCCATCCTACATTTCTGCAGAACTCGCGTGCGTAACCTAGCGCGCATAGGAATATTGTACCTTTAGCTCGATCGATCGTATCGACGGCACGTCCTTTGTATCTTACCGTCTCAACAACGCGTACAGCTGGCACTTGCGGCCGCTAGTTTACAAACTCGCGAATCTTTGGAGGCCTTTCTCGTACCCTAATAACACTTCATGCCCTCACATCGTCGATAACAGCATCCCCTCCCTTCTCAGACGCAACGCCAGGATACAAGCCATCCGAGCCGTCGTCGTCGAAGAAGCCATACTGTCGCTGCATCTGCTCGATGCCACGAGGATCCATGAACGGCAACTCCTTCGCAGCCTTGACGTAACTCATGTTCTCCAGGTGGCCCTTGGCGAAGATCAAGTCGATTTCTTCCAAGCTGCGTTGCTTCGTTTCCGGGTAGAAGATCCAGATAAACGGCAGGAAAGACGCGTTGATGCACGCGAAGAACAAATACGTGCCCCATTTGATGTGGTCGATCATGATTGGCGTGATCATGACGACGAGGAAGTTGAAGAGCCAGTTCGTGCACGTCGACACTGCATTCGCCTTGCCGCGCGTTTTGACTGGGTTGACTTCCGCGGGGTAGAGCCATGGCAATGGTAGCCAGGTTGCAGCGAAGAAGGCAATGTACGTGAACAAGCCAACTGCTGCACCCTTCGCAGCGCTCTTGGTGCCCGGGATCAATGCTGCAAATACCAAGACCATGGAGAGACCTTGGCCAACAGTACCGATGAGGAACAACTTCCGACGGCCGGTGCGTTCGATAATGAACCAGGATGTAGTGGCGAAGATGGAGTACACGATCATGTTTACGCCGCCAAGGAGGAGCGCCAAATCGTGCGTTGCGCCAATCGAGTTCTCGAAGAGGAGGGGGAAGTAGTACTTTGAAGATCAGTATATGTAAATGAAAAAGAATCGGAAGGATAAACTCACAATGACAGCATTACAACCACCAATTTGCTGCATGAGCTGAGAGGAAGCACCCAGCATCATTCGTCGGAAGTGCTGCGTCTTGCCATTTGTGAAAAGCGCACTGAAAGGCGTGATGCCTCCCTTATGACCAGAAGCTCGGATACTGTCCATGATGATGTGTGCCTCGAAACGTGTTTCTTCATCTTCTACGGCGTGACCGCGCAGCGCGGAGATAACCTTGGCCGCATCTTCATGACGGTCTTTTGTCAACAACCAGCGTGGTGATTCCGGTAGCCAGATCATGCCAAAAAGCACTATGAGCGCGAACACGCACTGGAAAGAGATCGGGAACCTCCAAGAGAAATTGTCCGAGCCGTAGGAGCATCCAAAGTCGATCCAGTATGCGATAAGGGTGCCAAAAGCGATAACGCCGCCCTCGATGCAGATGAGAAGACCGTGGTTCTTGGTTCGGGAGCACTCGGCTTGGTACGTTGGAATTGTCGCGGTGTTCATGCCATTGCCTACACCAGTAACAACACGACCGATGATGAATTGTGCGGTCGCATTGTGGCCTTTGAACGAAGCCACTTGGATGATCGTCCCGAGAATCATGATGCTTGCGCCACCCATGATTCCTTTGCGTCGCCCGAGCGCATCGCCGAAAACCAGCATTAATACGGCGCCAAAGAGACCTGCACGAGACGATTAGTTAGCGATCGCTTTACAAGCAGTACTGAGAGTAGTCTTAACTTACACCCAATTTCGTAGATAGCTGTCACGAATCCCTGCCAGGTACTGTTGTGGAGTGTCTCTGGGAAATAGTTCATGAACGGCTCAGCAGAGATGATCCCTGACATGACACCCTCTTCAAAAAGATTAGTATGACATCATCTATTTTTTCATGAGTATACTCACGATCATATCCGAACAGCAGAAATCCCGTGGTTGCAATGACTGAAACCATCAAATCCAGTGATCGGCCTCGCATCCCCATAAAGCGGGGATGCGTGGCCAGCGTTGGCTGTACATCCGACATTGCGACTGCCTGTCGCTGCTCGCAAATCGAATGTAAATTTGTGGAACCTGCTAAAAGTCTCGCTTCGTCGCTATGATTCAAGTCTCGAAACCGACGTGGAGAATTACAATGGAGCGTGCGATAAAGCGGGGTGCCCCCAGGTTTTATCTTCTCCACACCCCATACTTCTCCATACGTTCATCTGCCGGACTAGTCTGTCATATGATGGGATGTGCAGAGAATGGACCCACGTATGTATACCAGTAATCCAGGTTCTTATCATGGTATAGGAAGGTGCTGCAAGGAAAAACCAGACGTCACTCGATGAGCACCACCGACATTACCCCTAGCAGTTAGATCGCAAGTTGCACCCCTGAAGTGCATCTGCATGCTTGTAGACCGGTTGCACGATGCGGGATCGCAGAAAACGGAGATGCCGAGGTATGCTACGCTAAGGTGTGACCGTTGCAGATCTTGGTTGGACCGAAAGTTAGCCGGATGCATAGATTAGGTTCAACCTCCTCGGAAGGTCTCACGTGTCCTGCGCTTGAATCAGGCAAGGGCGTACTGACCGGTGTGTGAGAAAAATTGAACATGTGCAAGGCGTAAGTGGCGCCATGATTTGCACCCCAGAGTTTCGCGCGCGCCGTGCCGCAAATAAGGCGGAACCACGTCCGCACTGTGATCACTGGCTCGTTTTGGAAGCATGGCATTTGCAACGGGAAGAGTTTTCACATTAACACGGTACGCAGGCACGGCAGATCTTGCAACTCGAGAATCCTGTGCCTTTACGTCTTGTTGCTTTGTACAAGAAATCACTTTACCCATCCTCTCGCAGTCTCCACAAGCAATGCGCCAATACCTACATGATAAGCTCTAACGCCTTGGAAAAATCCTTCAAACTTCAGCCCAGGTAGAGAATAGTTCGAAAAGCACAGAATGTTCATGCATTGGAATATTGCGATATGTAATGTCATTTTTCGTACGCACAAAGAAATTTTTGCAAACGCGCAAATTGTTCATGCTGTCCAGTATGTAGAATTACTAGTATCAATACAAGTAGTGGTATGAATATCTCATGATTCGACAGCCTGTGGAAATTCATGTACCTGGTAGCTTTATCGTCACCTTCAATGCCTTGAGCAGGGTTTTAAGAAGTATACTCACAAGCAGATGAACATATTCACAATTGCCGTTCCGGGATATTTGTACACTAAGCTTGTCTAAATCATTGATTTCGGCATACACGATTCGCTCTACCCTCTCCATCCAGCATTTACGATCTGCATGAGGGTGCTGGACGTGTGGCTATATATGAAGCAATTTTCTAAGTAATTTTCTACGCAGCGACTCAAAATAGTCTACAAGCGCTGTGTCTGAAAGACGTAACACGGCCCGAATCACTAGCGCCTCCATTTTTCGCTTGTGCAAGATCTGCGCTTGACGGCGCCATGAACTTTACCCTGACCTTCAAAATCTGGTACAAGCCTACCTAGGTACACAATGCCTATTCAAGACAATTTTCAAATCCCGTCCTCCGCACAGGAGCTGCCTGTCCCTGATGGCCCAGCGGCGAAGCTGTTCGTCTGCTTCATCTCTTCTACCGATCCTGTCACCAAGCAGCCCTGGTGCCCCGATGTCCGTGCTGCATTACCGCGGCTGGATGCAGCATTTTCTAGCGAAGATGCGCCAAATCTAGCTTATGTGCATGTTGGGCAAAAGCCGGAGTGCGTCACTCTCCCCATTGTACTGAGCTCTACTAAACGACAATAGATGGAAGGAAATGGACAACTTGTACAGGAAGACTTGGGGTGTCAATGCAATTCCTGCACTAGTAAGATATCAGCGTATCAATGGTGTAGTGAAAGAGACAGGTCGTTTGGTGGAGGCAGAGATCATGGACGAGGAGAAGGTGCTAAGCCTTGTTAGCGAAAGTGGATGGTTGTAGAATGGTACAGGAGCTGTGGCGTGTTTAAGACGTGTTCGAATTGACAGAAATCCGATATTGATATTTAGGGGAGGGTTTTGCGCGAGTGGCGCGACGGGGGATATATACGAACGTTATGAACCCCGCTCGGCTTACATACATAGAATCTCGGAAAACTCAGCTGAAGCCATTTTTCCTCACTTACTCTCCAGCCATGCGTCTTCTGCATCTTGATCTCGATAAACGCACGTGGGTTGTCGAATCTTTCTCTCCGACATGCATTCCCTTTTACGCCATTCTGTCGCACACATGGGGTCGCGACAATGACGAGGTCAAATTTGAAGACATCGAAAGCGGAGAGCGGCAGTACAGCGATGTCACTAAACTGGGCTATGCGAAACTTCACTTCTGCCAAGAGCGAGTTGAGAAAGATGGCCTGCGTTATTTCTGAATCGATACTTGCTGCATCAAGAAGTCTGACAACTCCGAGCTGCAGCACTCACTTGCTTCCATGTTCTACTGGTATCAGAAGGCTGCAACATGCTATGTGTGGCTTTCAGATGTGTCTATCGGCGATGCTACGGATGATGCTAATCGCGAGTGGGAGAAGGCGTTTTCGAAGAGCAGGTGGTTTAAACGAGGCTGGACACTTCAAGAACTTATTGCGCCGGAATCTGTTGCCTTCTTCTCCAATGAGGGCAAATTCATCGGCGATAAAAGAGAGCTAGCGTCCACGATTAGCCTTGTGTGTAACATTCCTAGCCCAGCCCTGGAGGGCGTGGAGCTATCGCACTTTAGTACAAAACAACGTTTCTTATGGGCGGAAGGCCGCATTACTTCAGTCCCGGAAGACGCTGCGTATTGCTTATTTGGTATATTCGATGTAGAGTTGCCCACTATGTACGCAGACGGCGATTACAAGAAGAGAAAGAAAATAGCCCTGGACAAGCTTAAAAAGGTGCTCAAGCAGAAGGAGGTCGAAAGCAAAAGCTCAGACGAAATCATACATATCGGCGGCGCTTTCTGGAAGGACCTGATTACTTTGAGCGAAGAGCAGCTGTTAAAGCTAGACTCAGACCTTGATCAGTATAGCGAATGGATTCTCGACATCTTTCCGGGTCAATTCACCGGAGCAAATCTCGTATCACCGGAATTCCTGACTGGTCTATCTCAGAATGCAGCCAAGCGGATGAAACGACTATTAGCGAATCACAACATCCGCTATGATGATCTGTCGCATTTCGAAAATGAGGTGCAGTCTTGGGAAGAACCTTGGGGGCGATATAGAGATGAACATATGCTTTCTCAAATCAGGATTCAGGGGTTCATACAGAATCGATGGTATTGGGCAGGAAAGTGCGCACGAGAGTGTGAGGATAAAGGAATTACTGCGGCTAGAACACTAGAAAGTCTGATGATCTGGAGGGGAAGGTGGCCTGCTTCCTAGTAGTCATGTTGAGATGCCGCCTATGCCTTCTGTATCATACAATGCACGCGGCTACGGCGGAGGGTGCGACGTCCGCTGAAAGTTACTCCCACGGACGTTTACTTGCACATTCGGCGTTGGCTCGATGCTTAGCTTGTTCTCAACAAAGAGTCCGAAGATCTTCTGGTGCATCGACGGCTCTAGAATTTCGAGCTTGTTTTCTGCTTGCAAATTATGCTCTCCAACATCTTCGTGATCGATGTCCACAACAAACATGTACTGCCCAAATATCCTCTTTGGGGTGACGTGGATCTTCAGCCTAAACCCATGCTGCTCACCAGATTCACCCGTGGTACTCAGGATTGTCTCCTGTCGATTTTGAAGTGCAAAACTGCCCTCGTGGAACCGCTCCAGGTTTCCGTCGTGCCTTTCGTATTCATAGACTGTGTCATCTAGGTAACACCAAGGTGCTGGCTTAACATTCCCCGACTGCTGTTTGCAGCCAAGGCTTAGAAAGACATATCCTACAGCACGCTGCGATAGCTTGCTGCGAGTAATCGTTAATCGCAAGCTTGCATGCCACGAAACGCGCCCGGACGAATCATTGTGCCCTTGAAGAATGCTACCTCTCTGGTTCCAAGCTTGCTTCGGCAGAACACCCGTGACGGCCACACCATCAGCCATGTCGCGAAGAAAGAAGGCGTATTTGCGCTGTATGCTCTCCTTTATCGATGGTATACGGCTGTTACGAATGTACACTTCTTTCAGCCCAAGGCTAGAAGCCAGCGGTGTCCTTACAGGCACTAAAGCGACATTGGTACTTGTGTCGCGTGAATAAATATCTGCTTCCAAGTGTCGAAGGGGAATCATAACGTAATTATGATAGTCGTGTGCAACATGACACCGCAGGGCGGCCCAGACAAGATCTTGACTCGACCATATCATAACTTGTGAACTTAGCGGTCGTATCCAACGATGGGAACTCGCGGCAGCAGTTTGTGGGTCGCACAGATTGTAGAGATACAACCAGATTCTGAGGCCGCGATGAGTCATATTGTATGGAACAACAGGGCCATCTGAGGTAAAAGGTACGAGGTCCTTTGCTTCACTAAAGTCCCTCGGGTCGGAGGCAAGAACATCGACCGAGGAAGAGTCCGTACTGAACTCCATACTCTCCCAGGCGAATAGTGTTTCATCCTCCGAAATTTTCATGATTTCTTCTTGTAGTCGTCTAAAAGCTTTCGACTTGCCTTCGCCGTAAAGTAGCGGCATGTTGACATCGAATATTCCGAGAAGAGAGTAGGCGACATCCTCTGCCCTGGTTGCTTGTCGATCCGCAGCCCAAGACATGCGCATGCTGATGCTAGCTCTGTCCAGACTGAGTCTCTCCAGGTACTCTCTCGGAACCCCAGTAATTTCGGAAATTCGGGATCCAAGGCCGCCTTTGCTACCCAGACGCTTCCAATCTCGAGAGAAGAACTCCATGCCGGTTTGATCATCTGTCTGGATGTGACTCGGGGCGAGCAGCTCTTGTAATGTCCACGCCCTGGTGAACCACTTGCTGTTCGCGAACTCACTCGGACCCCCAACATCTGCGAGGTACGCGTAGCACTTTGCCGACTCCCTGTACCAGCTGAACATCGAGTTGATTGCCTCAGAAAGCTCTGCGCTGGAGGACTTGTCGATGCAGCAAGTGTCAACCCAACACCACTCAAAACCATCTTTGACAGCTTGCGCACAGGTTTTCTCGATTTTGGGGAAACCCAGCTTTTTCTTTGCTGCATCAAGATCTGCTAGATCAGAGAAGACGACTTCCTCCTCTTCCCAACAGTGAGACAGAATTGCGTACGGAGGGATGTTCTCGAAGAAGCTCTTCAGCTCCAGTGTGCGCGTATGGAGGAGTCTCATCCTCGAAAATAGCCGATATCTTTACTCAGGTTGGCGAAGCAATGACATCGATGCTGCTATGTGTGTGAAGAGCGGGGTAACAAAGTCCTCATGTTGAATGCAGGTCGAGGTATTGCAAAGTTTATTCTGTAGTGTCATCACTCAGGCGAGAGCTTCATGATGAATAAACCAGTATATTCAGAGAATACCGGATGGCGTTGTGGTTGTAAACGACTCGCGATGCGGTTCCCTTGCGAAGCGCGCAGTCTCAAAACGGAAAGGCTCGTCCCGCAGCCTCTTCCAAGGTTTTTCTACCTGCCACAACAGACTCTTTCTCTTATGCTCATGATAGATCGATAATAACCAAGAAACGTCAAACGCATTGTCTCTGTCAGAAAACTGTATATCATTTTCAGATGTAGCGACACTCTAGGTTTCGACCTGTTCGATTACCTATTGATTTTCAGAATAGACCTCGTGTTCGAGGCGCCCCAACCCTGCCGTACTCACATGTCACGTAAACCACAAAGCAGATACATCTTGACCTAGAGAGGACCTTTGTCATCTTATGTTCCCCTAACCGTCTATTTTCCTGAGGATACCACTCTAGTACAGCGCCCGTAAGCTCAGATATCCCGACCTGCTCCTCAGGCTTACTTGGAGTACCCAGAAGCGCTTCCCATACACCTGGACGAGGTAACTTCTTGGAGTCATCCTGCGCACGCGAAAGTGTCGCCCTATTGCGATTGAATGCCTCATCTGAAGAGGCTTATGATCAAGGACGCCCGGTCTTCAGCCTTGTCTGATGTCGCTGCACTCTTGTGCGCCTTCCACGCCCCAAGTCCGCCTCATACGAACCGGACGAAAACCGCTAAGCGCTGAGAGAATATTCCGGGAAAATATCGCAAAGCTGAGTTCCGCATTGGTCGATCCAGTAAGGAATTTCGTCCAGGGCGGCTTCTGGAAGTCCTAGTAAGCAATGTGGCGCACGGCAAGCGATACGTCCCGCGAGTGGGAGTGCGAGCTGAGATCTTACTCGACGCAGAATATGTCATGGACTGATACCTCAGCCGGAAGAAAGCAATTTCCTTGGGGCTAGGCGATGCAAGTTTTGGCCCCAGAGACGATTTTTCAGCCTTCCGCGCGCACTTTGAAGAGGGACCTTGGTGAGCATTCCTTTGAGCGCAAAGCTCTTTACACTTGGAAAGAGAAATGGTGAGGTAGAGCAACCGCGAATCTTATAGTGGGCGTAGCGCTCTAGTCTGTCATAGACAGATCCAACATCTGTGGACTAAAATACACTAATAGAACGACTAGGGCTGATTTGTAGACGGCTGAGATCCCGCCACAATATAAGGATCTTGCGGCTGCGCGACTGCTTCGAGTACAACCAATCAGCCACCAAGACCGAAGTAGCCACTCACGAGCAAGCTCTGATGCGAACAGGTTGATTGCTGGGTGGTGTATCGCATGTGGCTTATTGGATTAAACTTACTTAAATGGCAGTCGCGGCATGACTTTCGACTCAAACTTGAGCGCAATTTATGCGCCATTCGTCCAATCTGCGTCTGATCACACGATATCAACAACCCAGAGTCACATATCTTTTGCAAGTACAGGGCCGCCTCATTATGGCTGCAGCCTCTACGACATATGTTGGTCTCGATGAGATCCCCCGTACAATTCGATCGGAGCTTCTCAAGTACGACGACAGCAAGAACGATGGTACCGAAGAATATCGCTATACTGATCTTCCACCCACGAAGAAGAGAATTCGCCTACTTCGCTTGTATCCCGGAGTCCTTAGGAGCCCGCAGGTTTTGTGCGAGATGTTCGAAGCCGAGTTTGTGGAAGGTGAAGACCTCCCCAGGATCGCGAGTCCTATCGACAGTGAAACATTGACCAAAACTGTTTCATACGAGGCCCTTTCCTGGCGATGGGGCGATGAGGACAATAGCGAGTATACCATCATGATCCGCGACGGTGATACAATGTATCGGAAGAGAGTGTCGCAGACCCTGGGTTTGGCCTTGAAATATCTCAGAGGAGGGAAAGACCGCATTCTGTGGATCGATGCTATCTGCATCAATCAGAAGAACAAAGAAGAGCGAAGTTACCAAGTATCGATGATGTCTTTGGTGTATACCCGAGCCGAACAAGTCTGCGTATGGCTCGGCGAAGACGACGAGAACAGTCGGAAAGCTATACAGTTCATCCGCGAAGACATTGGCCATCTGAAAAACTTCGACCAGCTCTGTACAGAGGATGTACATGCGCCCAAGTGGCGGGCTTTCATTGGCCTCATGCAACGCGACTGGTTTTCTCGCCGCTGGGTCGTGCAAGAGATTGCGCTCGCTCCTGTAGCCAGTGTTTATTGTGGACCCGATGAACTAGAGTGGCGAGAATTAGCAATCGCCGTCGAGTTGTTCGTTGAGGTCGAGACTGCTACCCATCGACTTTCTGAGCTTCTGAGAAGAGACGCCAAGTCGCGTTTGGTGCCGAGTTGGTTCGAACATATTTCTGAGCTGGGTGCCAGTCTCCTTGTCAATGCCACCGCGCGTATCTTCAGGGAATATCAACGCAGCGACGAGACCGTAAAAGCCCCAGAACGCCGGAGTCTACTCAGTCTGGAGTTCTTGGTTACGAGCCTGTCAATCTTTGATTGTGGTCGACCACACGACTCTGTTTACGCCTTGATCGCCATAGCAAGAGATGCATCTCCAAATCCGCCGACCTCCACAAAGCAGAAGAGACACCAGGTACTTATCGCTCAGGTATTCGGTGATCAATTGGAGCAGAAGCCTTACCTGCTTGATTACAACAGTCCTTACCCAGACGTCTGTAAAGAATTCGTGCAATTTTGTATCGAGCGTTGCGCAAAGCTAGATCCTTTGCAAGCACTTGACGTATTGTGCAGACCATGGGCCAAAGATTGGCGACCCGGAACTTTTCATGCAAACGAAGACGACAAACCATCCCCGACTAAGGTTGGCATTTGGCCCTCCAAACATGACGACGTCAACCATGACAAACAACAAGTATCCTGGTCTGAAGATGCGTGTGAACTTTTTAGTAATGTGTCAGAGGTAATACCACTTAATAATGAGTATAATTTATCAGGCTCTTTTGCGCAACATACGGAACCGACAAGCCACGTAGCAGAGGATTTGATGTTAGGCCATCCAGACGAGGCAACCTTAAACGAGAACAAAATACCCCTTCCAAAGGAATTTGCGGACGAGCAGAACAACGCTGGAGCATCTGGAGACGAAGGCAAACCCAACAGTCGTTCCACGTTGGAGAATGACGCCTGGGCACCCGCATGGGAAAAGTACAAAGCCGGCCGACGGCCCCAAGACGGCAGCTCAATGCCACTCGATACGGTAATAGTCCGGCCGAAGACGCACACAGACAAGAGAAACATGGACCAATATTTCCAACAATGTGGATACTTAACCAACGATGCAGCGGTAGATGACTTCGTTTCGTTAGCGTTCCCAAAGACTTACCCTAAGTCGCCCGTATCGTCATGTCAGAGCACAGCGCCAAGACACAACAATCATAATGATGCGGAAACGGACAAGTTGGAAGAATACAAAATAGCCATCGGCACTCTGAGTGAAGATCCTAAGCTAACAGATATTCTTCGTGTCAAAGCAAAGCTTGCGGCCTACGAAATTGAGAAGGCTGATCGAGAGAAGGGAAATAAAAAGCCTGTAGCGGGTTCGAGATCACCCAAACCCACGGCCAAGGTCGAAATTCCGAAGCATTCACGCATACAAGAGCTAGGGCTACCGTCCTGGGTGGCTCGAATTGATGGCGCACCGTTCGACATATTCCCGCATCCGGGTATGGACATGATGAAGATGGGGCGGAGAAACGCAGATCCCTTAGTGGGGACCCCACAAGACGGCCATCGAAACTACAGTGCAGGGCAGACAAAGGTTGTCGACCTGAAGACGTTGCAATTCAAAAGACGGGCGCACCTTGGGCACCATAGTCTCTATTTGAAAGGTTTCTGCTTCGATCGAGTGGCCAAGGTTGCGCAGGTATCACAAGCTGGTGCAATACCTGCATCCTGGCTGGACCTTGCTGGATGGGGCGAGGCACGTCGACCTACTGGAATGCACGGCGACCTTAATGACCCGCCTACTGCTTTCTGGCGTACTCTGGTGGCAGACCGAGGTGGGAATGATCGCAACCCACCATACTATTATGCACGTGCTTGCAAAGAGACTATACTCAAGGGTGGCATTCGAAGCAACGCAGTAGACACTACAGCGCTGATCTATAACGAGCGCAACTCGATCATTGCCGAGTTTTGTCGTCGCGTGCAGGCAGTTATCTGGAACCGCGCATTAATCAGGACGGCAAAAGGCGCACTTGGCCTAGTATCAGAGCAAGTCAAGGAAGGCGATCTTATCTGCATCGTCTACGGCTGCACTGTACCCGTCATTTTGCGGCGAGAGACTGCCAACTTCAAGACCAAGAACGAATGCGATAATGAGAGACTTGAGGATGGCATTGAAACCATGAAGCATCTCATGATCAAGGTCGAGAGGTACCGAGATCGCGCATATCAATACAGTAAACGACCCGAAGAAGAAAAGAAAGAGGTGAAAGACTACACTCGCAAGCACAACAAGAAGCATGCGCAGACAAATAGTGCCAACAAGATCAAAGAAGACAACGAGATCATTGACGAAAGAGAGAAGTTGCTGGGCTCCAGAGATTCGCAGAGTGATATTGAAGAAGAAGACTCCATGTCTGACGTTGAGGAAGAGGGCAAATCCGCTCGACAAGGTAAACACGACAAAGATCTTGCGCGGCAGATCAAGCGTCAGCGAAAAGCGAAGATCCGCGACCCGCTCCGGCACTATCGATTCTTGGACCAGGTAAGATCTTTACACGATATCATACAATAGAGAAATTTGCTGACTTCAAGCAGGCATATATTCATGGCATGATGGATGGGGAAGCCGTGCGTCAGAAATTCTACACTGGCAAGCCCGATCATATCTTTGAGATCCGATGATGTTTCCTACGCAAAACTTGACTTTTAGCACATTGTTTTAATCTGGTCTCACTCTTTCTGAACTATTGGATTCGATCGTAGCAACAAACATTCTTCATGCGAAACTAGCTTGCGGACGTGCTTTTCGCTGCTATTCCAGGTCTGTACGCTCAAAAAATATGCCTCCAGATTTCGAAATTTCCGTAACGGACTTCTTTTGTCTTTTCTCAAAAGTAATGAATGAGTATCTCATTCAATCTGTTCTAGTATTTATTTGATCTCACCACGAACATACCTCCATCCTCATCGCTCACAACTCCCGTCGCCCATCTACTCTTGTCAGTCTTATGAAACACCCTCGCATACATATCCGGCAACACATAAGGTAGATGCATCTTATGGATACTGGAACCTGGTCATCTTTATCTTTTCTCATCTCCTTATCCTCGGCTTCCCCAGGAGCACCATTTCAATCATCTCCGGGC